CATTGTTGTTTGGCGGGCCTGGGCTGGATTCGAACCTGCCACCTTAGGTGTATGTGGCTGGCACCTTAGCCACTTGAGCCACAGGCACTGAGCCCCTTTCATTTCTGTATCTGTGGGGCTTTCAAGCTATGATGGTGTAGCTGAGTTGGTCAGACACAGATCATTTGGCTTTATTTCCTCCTAGTCACACCTTTGGGGATTCTGAGTCCGGACATTCAAGGTACACACCTGAATGTGTCAGGAAATCATGGTGATCATGTTAGGCAATGGGGTCCCTTTCACCAATGGGGGTCACAAGCTATGTCCAGGACACATCCCTTGGAAACGTGGGTATGGAGCCCATGTGAACTGAATTCATTATCTAAACTCTCCTTTCCCACTGTGAGAGCACATCAGCATTAGGGGATGCTCATGTGTCCAATTACCACCTGGGGGTCCGAGGTCACTGTTAACAGCCACATTCCTGTTGGTCCTCAGCAGTGCCTGGTGTAGAGGATAGACACTATGGACTCTAGGGTTGGAAGTGAAGACTACGATACAATGAAATGTCCCCTAAAAATGTGCCAGGTGGCATTGCCCAACTTAAAGAACTTAGAGCAAAATATTAGTCAAGGTTTATGTTATAGCATCATGTGTTAATCTTGCTTATAACTTCTGCTATTTACAGCCTGCTTAGTTCTTGGACCTAAACTGTATCCTTCAGTGTAACATTGCTTCTATGGAAGATCCTCCACCGTTTAAAACAAATGGATATTTTCTAAAAACCTGAAACTGCTTTTCTTCTGGCACAGTTTGCATTTAGGGCAGACATTCATTAGGATAACATTTTAGGACCTTGGCAGGGTCTTGCTCTGTTGCCTGGGCTAGAGTGCAGTAGCCTCATCATAGCTCACTGCAACCTCAAACTCATGGTCTCAAGTGATCCTCCTGCCTCAGCCTCCCAAATAGCTGCAACTAAAGGTGGGCACCACCATGCCTGGCTTGTTTTTCTATTTTTAGTAGAGATAGGGTCTTACTCTTGCTCAAGCTGGTCTTGACACATGACTCTGGGCCTCAAGGGGTCCTCCTGCCTAGGCTTCCTGAAATGCTAGGATGACAGGTGTGAACCACTGCATCTGGCCCCTCTTTTACCTCCTGATATGGGTGGAATGATGTCCCTGTGGTATAATTTAGAGTGTATATTTGGTCTTTGCCCACAGTTCCTGGCACAGGGCTCCCCAAACCCTTGGAACAGACATTCATAGGCTTGAAACAAAAGATAGTACTTTGGAAGTTTGGATGAATCAACGTGACTACCTAGTGGCCCCCAGTATTTTAAGGGGCCCCAGGCAACTCTGCTGTATTTACTCCAACTTGTAGAAATTTTAAAAGCTGGCAGACAAGAGATTACAATGTGTTACCCCACCTGGAATCATTGAGGGCACAGATTAGTGAAGGTGAAAAATGACAAAGGGGTCAGGATCCCTTGGCTCAGCCCCCTAAGAACTCAAAGCTTTCTGACACAAATGGGAAATAAAGTCAAGAGTGTACAGAACAAGTTCTAGGATTTCTTGATGCAGGAGCCTTTAGAAAAGCCCTGATGTGGGCTTTTAGTTAGATTGAGAGGATATAGAAAGGTTGGGTAGATGTATGCTGTTTGTGTCCATCCACCAAATTCCTATGTTGGACAACCCAACCACAAAGATGATGGTATTAGCAGATGGGGCCTTTGGGAGGTGCACAGTCATGAGGGTGGAGCTCTTGTGAATGGGATTAATGTCCTTACAAAAGAGGCCCCAGAGACCTACTTTTATTTTTTTCCATGAGACACACAAGATGCCAGTTAGGAAGCAGATCCATACCACACTCCAATCTGCTACTATCTTGGACTCCCAGCCTCCAGAATTACAAGAAATCCATTTCTTTTGTTAATAAGTCATTCAGTCTAAGGTGCTTGGCTATAGAAGCCTGAACAGACTAAGATGATGAGATTGAGTAAAAGCTTAAATGAAAATTGGAATGTTTTATCTGTAGTTATGTCTTCCCTGAGCTACTATCATACAACCAGAACTTGTTCCTGAAGGTCTTGTGAAAGCTACAGTTGGGAACATTAAGGCTAGTGGTACTAAGGGTAAGCCTGAACGGGCTTTAAGTGAAGTGGTGTCTTCTTTACTGAATGTAGGATGAGGGCGGATTGTGTGTGTCACTGGGGTTTGTTCCCCTCCCTAGTGATGTCAAACAGAGGCACAGAAATCAGCCCCTCAAGCACCATTAATTAAAAATGTGAGATGAGGAGCAGTGAGATCCCTGAGCCCATGCAGAGTAGGGTGGAAGCTAGAGAGCTTGTTGGAAGAATTCTCTGGGCCGCATCTCCCAGCAACTACTGGAACTTGGGACCAAAAAATGTCCACTTGCTATTCCTACCTTGCTATCAGACATTCCTTAAAACCACCCATGATAGGACATGAAAGAAACTTGACAGTGGATCTGCCATTCAGAAGAACTTGAGGCAATACAAGCCTTTCAACTGTCCCCCGAAAAGAAAAAGGGGGCTTCAACTGCAAAACAAGTTTATTTTTATTATATTTTAGAGACAGTGTTATTATGTCACCCTCAGTAGAGTACTGTAGTGTCACAGCTCACCGCAACCTCAAACTCCTGGGCATACGCGATTCTTTTGCCTCAGCCTCCCAAGAAGCTAGAACCACAGGCACCCACCACAACACCCGGCTTTTTTTTTTTTTTTTAATTGCAATTGTCATTTTTGTTTGGCAGGCCTGGGCCAGATTCGAACCTGCCAGCTCCAGTGTATGCTAAGGCTGGTACCTTAGCCGCTAAGGCATAGGCGCCAAGACAAAATAGCTTTATTTTTTAAGTATCAAAAAAGTTTATCATACAAAAATAGCTATACTGCTAAGGTAGTATATGAAGTGCTCTAGTGTCCTGAATTCACCTACAAGTCACTACAAATCCCTTCTGGAACTAGAGATATGAAATGGGCTTTCTTCCTGACTGCTTGAAGAAAGGTCCCTGCTTGGATTGGTGAACATGGCCTGAGTATGGATTCACGGGGTACGTGGCTTGTTCTTGTCCTCGGAAAGGGGTGTGCTCTGATGTGCTCCCTTGGACTCTTCACAAGCGCCTTCTTGACTGAAATACCACTGGCTGGGGGGCACCATGCCCTGAGCCTCTTCCCAGACTTCTTGGTTTATTAAGGCAGCCTCTTTACTCGCCTCAGCAGAGAGTTCCAACACCTGGGCAAAGCACCTGTGAAGATGAGCACTAGATCAAAGCAGAGCCCTTTAGCAGAGCCCCTTCTTGGTGAATAAGGAGCTGCAATGTGGGGGAGGTGGATTTCCACATCACCTACATGCTTGATGGGAAAGCAAAGGTCAGTGGTTCTCAACCTTCCTAATGCCGTGAACCTTTAATACAGTTAAAAGGGGTCGCGACCCATAGGTTGAGAACCACTGACATAGGTGAACAAGATTTGTTTAGGAAGACTCAATCAGGAGAACCCCTAAGCCAGTACCAGGGAGGCATGAAAGATGCCTCAGTGGTTCAAGAAATACTCAGGGTGCAACAGCACTGTGTTGGTGCCAATGGTTTCAATGTTTGTCCCCTCCAAACTCGTGCTAAAACGTAATCCCCAGTGTGGCAGCATTGAGTGGTGAGGCCTTTTTTTTTTTTTTGAGATGGAGCCTCAAGCTATCCCCCTGGGTAGAGTGCCATGGCATCACACTCACAGCAACCTCCAACTCCTGGGCTCAAGCGAGTCTCCTGCCTCAGCCTCCCAAGTAGCTGGGACCACAGGCGCCCGCCACAACGCCTGGCCATTTTTTGGTTGCAGCCATCCTTGTTGTTTGGCGGGCCTGGGCTGGGGATTCGAACCCACCACCTTAGGTGTATGTGGCTGGCGCCTTAGCCGCTTGAGCCACAGGCGCCGAGCCGAGTGGTGAGGCCTTTAAGAGGAGATGTGTTCTGAGGGCTCTTCCATTCATGAATTTCATGAAATAATGGGTGATCATGGGAGTGGGAATAGTAGCTTTATAAGAGACCTGAACCAGCATGATCAGTTCCCTTGCTGTCTGACATCCTGCATCACCACTAGCAAGAAGGCCCTCATCAGATATGACCTTTCAACCTTGAACTTCTCAGTCTCCAGAAATGGAATAAATTCCTTTTCTTTATTAATTACCCAATTTCAGTTATTGTTAGAAGCAACAGAAAATCGACTAAGATAGTTGGGGCACTGTCTCAGAAGCAGGTAAGACAGCTATGAACAGGATAAAATCTCTGCCCTCATACCACTTAAATGGCAATGGAGAAATGTGTGTGACACCTGTGTATTTAACTGCTCAGACTTGTGACCTCTGCCATCTGCAAACCCTTGGTGTGTCTTGATTTTACTCTGTAGCCACCCACAGAAGAAATGCCATACCAGGTGGCAGCTGTCTCTCCTGGGTACTTTTCAAATATTTAAGGCATCTCAGGAGATAGACTTAGCATTACAAGGAAGAAAAAACAAGATTATTTTCTGGAAGAGGTAGAAAAAAACCTATAGTTAGAAATCTCCTGAGGGAGATGAAAAAAGAGGTCCTGAGGGTTCTTGGTCACCATGGGGTGTGTCAGATCCAAGGGCTGGTCCCACAAAAGCATGGGCTCTGTGACAGTCCCTCAGAATTTGTGCCTTTTTTATATTTATACTTCAACAGAGTTCAAAAAACATCCTCCTAAGCCCTAACTCTAGAAGACATTTACAACATGAATAGGGCTGATCCAAGGGCGCCTGTACTGTGCTGGTGATTCTGAAGACAAAGGGTGATGAGGAGTAAGAACCTTTCTCTCTGCCTGCTTGAGACCTTCCCAGATTTTCCAGTGCAGGGTGTGAATGTCTCACCATTCCCTTCTCCCTGCCTCACTCAGTCTTTGTGCTCTGTGAATCTGGGGCCCATCTTATAACATCTTTGATCCTCAAGACATCTAGCAACCCCATTATCTCAGAACCGACTTCAAAGTGAACGACAAAAAGGAAATATGATGACTCTTGCCAAGTCCTCCTGGAGTGAGATTTTGTTACCTACAACACAGACCACAATGACACCTCTTGGCTGTTCCCATGTCATGAAATGTCTGCTCGCTCAGGGAACTGACCCCTTTTGAACCCAGAGGGGACCTTGGAGCTACTCCAAACAGTTCAGACACCAACAGCCCAGATCCTGCCAGCTCTTTCTGAGATACCTTTGGAGCTCAAGATCCTCTTTCATGGTCACATCCTTGAGTTCGCTCAGTAAGTCCAGCACTTGCACATTTTCTTCTGAATTACCAATGCCAAGTTCACCCAGGAGGCGCTGAGTGGTTGTCAATTCAGCCTGTAAGGAGTCTGGGGGTGAAACAGGTTGTGAGTGATAGAATACAACGTGCTCAAAGCAACAGATGCATGAATCGAGTGGCCAAGTAGATTTTTCTCACTTCACTGAGATGTTGTGCAGGAGTGGCACAGGCAAGAATGGTAAGCAAAGGAAAACACTCATGTGTTGGTACCTTCTCTTTGTTCCTTGGTCTGACATCATGGGCCTGAGATAGTGGAATAGCAAATCTACCATCCAGGTGGTCATATGAACAGATCTAGAATGCCACCCTGGTGTCCTGATGCAAGATGCAGCAAAGGCCATGCTGTGTCAGCATCACCTGGGGCTTCCAGCCAGCCACAGACAACTTATAAAAAACCCAACAAACCCATTCCATTCCCTTTTTCTTTTCTTTTTTTTTTTTTT